TCTTAGCCGGCTAGAGCATCGCCCGTGGAGCTTGCCAACTTGTGTGGCAGCCCCAGGAGATTTGTAACCACCTCTTGCAGCGAGTAAAATCACCCCTTATCTTAAGATTTCACTCTCTTGACTTGAGAATGGGGTAGGCTTGCAAACCCCTAAGCCTTAGTGGTATACCTCAACAACGTAGACTTAGGCAAGCCTTGGTGGCGAGCTGAACCACGGGATAAATCCTTGTGTCATCTTATGCTTGTGTTGCTACACTTGTGTTCCTGTTGTTGTTGAGGTGATTTCTAGAGTTTGAGGCCGATCTACTTGTGTGTGGGGTTTCCACCACTTTCAGTTGTCGATCTATGATCTACTACCCTACAGGAAGCTAAGAAATATACTCGATCTAAATTTTGTTGGGAAGATTTTGAACTGTGAACTAATCTCTCCTGCAGGTGCGGTAGTGTCGTGCTCACAGAGCGGCAGTGCCGTGGGTGAATTTGACTTCGGTTTGAGTTGAATTTTTATAGGCCTATTCACCCCCCTCTAGGCATACCAGAGATCCTACAAGTGGTATCGGAGCAGGTTACCTTGTGTGCGCTTCACCGCGTGAGGTATGGAGCCCGGGGGAGGATCCGGTGTTGTGAAGCCCATCAACGTCGATCCAGAGGACGTTGGGCTGCATGACACCGACAGCAGTGAGCTTAGCGCCTCTACAACGAGCAACTCCACGCTCCCGCAGCTAGAGGCAACCGATGCCAAAACATACTTGAAGTGATAAGTGAATCCTGTGTGACTCAGTTTTGTGGACTCAAATAAACGTCCAAGTTAAATTACTCAGTGCATAAAGATATTTAGGAATGTCTGACAACAATTCCAGCAAATAGATAGCGAATGGTTTGTTCTATTAGATTAAGCATGAAAAGCAATTTTTATAAACAAAATAAAATATAACTTGTATTTAGTACTTGAATAAATCTGGAGTGCAAGTTTAATAGATGAAAATGCAACTCTTGTTTTGGTGAGTAAAAGTTATTCAATAGTATATATGATAGCTCAGAAATTGAATCCAAGATTTAAACTAGAACTTTTCGTTGAGTCGGTGAGAAATTGGATTTATGTTCGAAAGGTCAATTTTAAAAAATTATGTTGAGCAAAATAGTTCCATAGTGCTTAAGTATTTTGCTCCTATAGGTTAGTATGCAGCATGGGATAGGTCGTAGTTGCGTTAGGGGTTACGACGATCACTCTAAAATTAACCGAACTTCGCTAGAACGCGTTGGGGACGTGTCGTTGGCGCTCTGTTGGTGAACCGGCAACTGTAGCGAACAATCTCGGCCGCTCACCCCAACTGCCTCGCCCCGCTCACTCTCGGTCGTTCATCCCACCTTCTCACCGAGCTGCCGAAGCCACCAGCGCATAGTGTAAATATGCATTCAAGTAGCAAATATGCATTCATCATTAGCAGCTCATAGTACTAGCAGCGCTCAGTGGGTACACCCTTTCGGCAGCACGCCATCATAGCAGGAGCAAGCCTTAGTTGTAGTCGCCCCCACTAAGCACCACCGTCCAACTACCAGCAGCACCATCAACGCCTCTGCCTGCCTCTACTTGTCTCTGCTCTGCTTGGTACTGCTGCCGTACTGGACGAGCGCAGTAGGTGCCATGTGCGTATGCTCCCTTGCGTCCTTGTTCGGGGGCGCTTTAATGGATGATTTTCTGAGCCGCTGCTTGCTCTTTCCCCTTCCTGCTTGCCTCTGTCGTTTTCTCTCCCGCAGCCACCGCCGTGGTCACGCGTTGTCGCGCCGCGCCTCACGCCCGCCCATCGCCGGCCCTCCCCCTCACAAGCGCGAACGCGTGTGAGCCCCACGGTCCCACACTGGATCGCAGACCTCAGCGCCGCCCCTCCCTTCCCCGCTCCTCGCCGCCATGTCCGTAGTCGTCGTGTCTGCGGATGGGCTCCTAGCGTGGGCCGAAGAGGCTGAGCGCCGGTACGACTTTGCCACCGTAGCCGCTTGCCTTGAGTCCGTGCTACCCCCCCCCTCACGCCGCCGCTCTCCTCCCTCTCACCGAAGCCCACGTGTGGCTCTGCCTCGCCTCGCTCCTCCTCGCACCCCGCGGCTTCTCCCGTGCCCCGCGCGCCGACGCCCTACCGCCGCCAAGGCGCACCTCGAGCACGCTGCTCATTGTCTCCCCGCTCCCTTCTGCGCCGCCGCAGCTCAAGCTATTGGCCCACTCCCACCTCGTGGGTGCCTACGTTGTCTTAGGGGCATCCGCTGTCGTGGCCCGCCGTCGCCCCACGGCTGTCGCGTGCGTGCGTGGCCAGGGTGCCGTGGGCCGCCTCTGGCCATGCCGCCGACGCCCGCGTGCGTGGTCGGGTCTGCTGCTACTCCTATGCCGCCTGGCCACCGTGCCTTCCCCGGCCAGGATTGATCGCCGGCTGGAGCTCCTCTGCTATGCCATAGGAAGGAGCCAAGGTGAGAACATTGAAATAGAGAATTTTCAGGGTTCCCGACGCAATAACTGTGACTCATCTAAATAGAAGCATACTAAATAGATAGAAGCATGGGGACGTTTTTGGAAAACTGCAGTCGTGCCCTAGGCTTGCCTAGCTGGGCCGGCCTGCTACCGCTCGCGCCTGCCCGCTTGGGCCAGCCTTTCGCGCCCCTGCCTAGGCCACGCCGCGTGGGCTAGCCTGTTGGGCTACTCGGCCTACACCGTCGCGGCCGCGGCCTGCTCGAGCCCCGCCTGGGCCAGCCTTGTGCCCCCTGCGCCTGGGCCTCGCGTCCGCGTGGGCCGGCAGCTTCCGGCTGCTGGGCCGTCGCCTGCCCGCTTGGGCCGCTCACGCCACGCCGCGTTGGGCCACGTGCGTGCCTACGGGCCGAGCCAAGCCGCTTAGGCCTTTTTCTTGTTGTGATGATTTTCGTTTTGTTAAATCAGTGCTCTTCAAAAATTGAAAATAAAGTGTAGAAAAATCATAAAAATGACAAACCAATTTTGTTAGGTTTCTAAAATCATGATCTATCTATTAGCGTAATTGGTTCATCTAGTTTCAAAATTTTCCAAGGTTGCTCTAATTATTTTACAATGTTTAATATTGTTAAAATGTGAACTTGTAGGAATTTCCGTGATAAATCGGTGATAGTGTTGACTCTGAAAATTTTACAGTAAACTTCTAATATTATTAGCTGTTCACTGTAATTTTTGTAGCCCAATAATAATTAGTTTACTAGAATAGTTAATGGGTTATAGTTTTGAGTATATTAAATCATTAATAAATCAAAAAGAGACTTGATTTGGTAAGAATTAGTACTTGTTGATGAAAATGATGCTTGTTTAGTGAGGTCAATACTTAGCTAATATATTAGTCATAGGAGTTAGCCTGTTAGCTTGGTTTATGCACTCGTATTTTACAAATTGTTGTTGCCTTTTGATTAATTGTGTCATCTCTGCATTTGCATCAATACATATCATAATAGGAACGACGATGGATCGATGATATCAAACGGAGTAGCTATAAAGATGGTGACAGGGGTCAGGACACAAAGATGGAATACTAACTTTTTGTTATATTTTATCTAGGCAAGCCCCGGTGCATAACCCCTACTTTTCTGCACTTTAAATTATATTTGTGCATTAAGTTTAAGGAGTTGAATGAAACCCACTTGCATATATATATCTTTATCCTATGAGTCTTTCTAGTATGACAGGATCGTGTAGATTGCTATGCTACAGAACTCCGATAGAAGTCAAGTGATTGCCTGCCACTCGCGAGAGATAAGAAATATATTATTGTTGTTACTATGAGTTTTGTCTTAAAAAATTCTATTTTTTTGTATTGAAATGAACCAAATATATAACTCCCACAAAGATTTATTCCAAGGCATCCCATTCTACTTTATATTAAAATGAACCAAATATAACTCCCACAAAGATTTATTCAAAGGCAGAGATATTTGATTTACTAGTAGTTGCTTGTACTTTCTAAAAAAGGCTCCAATTGCTATAATCCCTTTGTTTATCATAGTGTTGCACAGATGCAACTTTGTCCATTAGCTCGTTCCTTGAATTTTGTTTACATCGATGGTGGGAGAAAGAAGATTGGGCACGACTCCTCCTTTGCTACGTACATCAAACTGTAAAAATGGTAATATTCGTTCTAGTATCTACGTACATGTTCAATCCTACGCAAGTTAAACGTCGTGAATCCAATCTTTCTCTTATATATATACAAATATGAATAGGCTTTATTTCGGCGTCTGCAATTTACATGTCTTGAGTGTAAAAGCCTACAGTATGTCACAAATTTCTCTCTGTTAACAACAAGGTTTAGCCTCCGCTATCTCCGGCTATAGCTGTTTGAGAAGTATTTAGCTAAGTTTTTTTACGTACAAGGTAGCCCTTAACTACCGCTTATAGCCCGATATAGCCGGTTATAGCCTGTTTTTGGACATAGAAAGCTAAATGGCTTAGCCGTCTATTTAAAACCTTGGTTAATGATGGGTCTTGGAATGGGGTGGATAGCTCTCCTTTCGCTTGGCCTTTAGCTTTTGTTTGGGAAGCTACGATCCACTCGCCATTGCCCATGCTATTTTCTCCTACATACAATTGCCATTGTTGTTCTTGCACAAGGATTGAAGGATCTGTTGGACACACTCAGCACTAGAAGACTCTCCAACCCTTTCTCAGGATCTGACTTTCCCAACACGGCCAACCAGCGCCCGTCTCTCTCCACGCGTCACTCCGCGCGCCGCGCGGCCGGCCGTCGCCGGCCGGGAACCCAGTCAGTCTCCTCTCCCGCCACCGCCATAATTTAAACGCCCACGAAGCACCAAATGCCCGTCCGGCCCCTGCTTCTCTCCACACCGACTCCGGGGCCGCGCGTGCCTGTTCCGGTCATTTCCCGCCTCACGTGACCCGCTTGCTGAGTCCACCTTCACCTCAGAACAAACCCGTCCCCGTCCCCGTCGCACGTCGACGTGCGCTCGCAGCCGCTGCGCACCCCCACTGCCGCTCGACCGATGGCCGGGCCGACGCTGACCTACTCCGCGATCGTGTCCCACACCGCCGCCTTCCTCGCCGAGCTCATCGCCGACCCGCTCCTGCGTCGGCACCTCCTATCGGCGGCCGCGGCCGCGGACGGCGGCGGCGGGCAGCAGCACCCGGCGGCCACGCTCCAGGCGCTGTCCCTCGTGTCGGACGCGCTCGACACCGCCGCCTCAGGCTCGGCGTCCCCGTCGTCGCTCCGCGCCCCGGAGCGCCTGCTGCGGTCGCTGCCGGCCGCAACCCCGCTCTCCTGCCTCCTCCTCGCGCTGGCCCGCGCCGCGCGCCGCGGCGGCGGCGGTGCGGCCGCGGCCGCCGTGCTCGACCTCTTCGCGCTGGACCCCGCGCTGGCACGCCATGAGCTCGCGCCCGCCGCCTTCGAGGCGCTCTTCGCGCCGCGGCTCCTCCCCGTCATGCGCCACTTCGCCGCGCGCCGCGCCGCGGCCGCCGCCAAGGCCATGGACGAGGAGGGCGGGTCGGACGAGGCCACGGCGGTGTCGGCGATGCGAGTCCTGTCGCTCATGAGCGGGGTGCAGGCGCAGGAGATGCGGGCGCTGGAGCGTGAGTACGAGAAGGTGCTCGACGCCAACTGCAAGGAGTACGCGCTCTACCTCAAGAGGATCCTCGAGGCCGGCGAGCCATCGGCGGCGGTGTCGCCGTCGCCGTCGCCGCATCCTCCTCCACCGGAGCTCGTGTTCGGCGTCGGCGCCGACTAAGACAGTCGCGGCGACGAGGATGCCGCGCCGGAGAACGACGAGTCCGCTGCCAGCTCGCAGAGCGACCTACGGGACAATGTAATACCGCGACACGCTCCGTTCTCCTCACTCGCCCCCATACCCATTCTCAAGCACACGGCCTCATGACGAGATCCCGGTGACCTTTTTGCAGCCGATGTGGGCGGAGACGGAGGAGCAGCCGGGCGATCTTTACCCACGGCGGCAGAGCAGCGTCAGGGGCAGGAGGGACCTCATGAGGCTGCCGAGCCTGTACCCGCAGCGCGTGCCGCCGCACCTCATAGTGCAGCAGCAAACGCCGCCGGTGGGCAGAGCGAGCCGGGCGTCAAGGATCCGAGCGGAGCACCCGCGGTCGCGGTCGCCGGCGGCACCATCAGACGACAGCATGGAGGAGTCTTCCTCCGAGCTCTTTGCCGGCAAAGAGGTGCGTGCTCTGCAACTTGCATTGGCGTCCATCGAGACGCAAGAGCTTACTATACTACTACTAGTTAATGTGTTTAGTAGCATCTCATTGCATGATTAGAGTTCAGAGATTCAGGGAAGTTTTTCTTTTTTCAGTTAAGAAAAGGAAAACGAGAAGCGTGGGTGATTTCAAAAAAAAAAATGTGTTGTCGGTCTTTTTGTGCTGATTTTCAATTTTTCTAAGGTAACATGGCAGCAATTTAAAGAATTGGACAGATTAATCTTAAATGCAGGGGCTGTTCGGCAGGACTGAAAAATAAGCAAAAATATTGTTCCAGCTAATTGTTACGAGAAAAAAATACTGTTCTATCTAAAAATACTGTACATGTGAACAGTATTTTCGTGTCCGCGCTGGCCAGCCAGCCGAACACTCGCGTAGGTTCAGGACCCTTTGCACTACACATGATTAGAGGAGAGCATTGAATAATTGCAAAATATAGGGATTCGTCCAATTAGACCATTTGAGTACAGCGAGAGTACTACCCTGCATATAAACCACTCAATGCATCTATATGAGTTGTTCCATCCAAGTGATCTAGCTTAACCAATGGATTTTTTTATGCTTTAATAACCAATGGTTTTTTTAGTGTTACTTAAATGGGGTCGTATGTGTAGTACTCGCAAAATATGCCTGTGTCAACGCCTTTAGCTTTTCAGAAAGTTGGAACTACCTACCGATGTAGGAAACAAAAATCGCTCCACCATGCCTTATATAAGTTCAAAAACATAACCACCGTAACGGGAAAAAAACTTGACTTAAATAAAATTCATCAACAGTGCAGTCAGCATAAAACTACTTTTTATTGTTTATATGTTATCTTAGCATTTTGCCATTGAAAGAAAGCTCAACGCTAATTATCAAGGTTAACAAATTACCACGCCATTAAGCAGAGAGAATAAAATAGAACAAGTACCTCTCTATGTGTTGATAAATTACCCACCAGTATCATTGCACAAAAATCTACCCAGAAATAGCATTATCTCTCTCATTATTTAGTTTGTAGACATGTAAGATATATGTAAAGTTTTTTGTTCATTATTTGTAAAATCTCTTGAATTTGAGGGATTTTAAGAATATATTACATATAAAAAATTAATGGTTAAAGATACTTATCAAAGACCATGCAAAGTTAAACTCGATTAAGTATTTTTTTTCTACTGGAGGTAGTATGTGGTTCTCCCTTTTCACAATATTTATTATCATTCTGGCTAACGTCACACAAAAATAAGAATAAGAAACATTAAAGAGGGAAACTATAGGTACTCCCTCCATCCCCAAATAAATCAACATGAGCTGTCCTAGAAGCATCTCCAAGAGTTCCCAATAAAGCATCCCAATCGATTTTTGGCGAGGATAGAAAAAACCCTATCTCCAAGAGTTCCCAATCTCACCTCCCAATCTTTTGGCACTTGAAAAAAAATTACCGAAAGCGCGGATATATCCGTGCGTAGAAGCCGCGCGTATGGGTCTCCCAAATCTAAGGTGGAAGGACGTGGGAAAAAATAAAGAGTAGAAAAGAGTTCCTGATGCAAATGTACAAGAGAGAATATATAAAAGTGGTTATGATAATTTAGAAATAGTATATGATTCGTGATGTAAAATTGTCTTCTATGTTTTAGGAATGAATTATTGGAAACTTTTGGACATAGTCTTATTTATTCGTCCCAATACTTTTTTGGCGAGTTGGAAAACTCTATAGTTTTGGAAAGAAATTCTTGAGAACTCTTGGAGGTGCTCTAAGTCAAACTTTTGTAACTTTGACCAACTTTATAGGAAAAAAATATGAACACCTATACCACCAAGCAATGCATTATGAAACTAAGGTCCATGGTGTATCTGATGGTGCTAATTTGCATTATAAATATTGGTGTTAGTTTCTATAAATTCGATCAAAATTAAAAAAAGTTTAAGACAACTCTATAAGTTGATTTATTTGGGGAATGGGGACAATTCATCACAGTCCTAGATGTCTTGCATCCCCATTGGCAGATACATTAGGCTAGGGAGATGTGACTGAGTGTTGCAAATACACTAAAAAAATTTAGAGGCTTAAGGAAGTTTTCGAACGTGAGAACTAAAAGTAATTTAGGGGAAAAAAATCCCCCTAGTGCGCCTCATGTAAAAAAAACTTTCTCTCTTAATATAAATACGCGTAAATCTTTTGCGTGATTGAGAAAAAAAATTAGGAGAAAAAAGATCCTAGAATGAAAAATACTATGAAGCACAAGGAGTTTAGCTTCAGTGTATGTTGAGTAAGTACAGTCCAAAAATGATACTATTTCGTGATTGGACAGAGTATATTGAGTTATTGAAAGATTAGATGGTAATAAGTAAGAGATGTAAACCATCTTTAGTACCGAAGGCATATACACCATATTAACATTCGAGATTTTTTGATAATTTTAAATTTTAAAATTTAAAATCTATAAACTTACAACAGTATTTTAGAACCCTAAACAATTTCAATTCAAAAACTTTTCAACTACAAAGTTGTAGATCCTGTCGAGGGCTACAATTTTAATATAAAGTTTGTCTTAATCGGGGCTCATATGAAAAAGTTATGAATTATTTTTTAAAAAAAGTCAGTGTGCCACATCATCAAAAAAATAAAAAATAAATAGAAATATAACAAATTGACATGCGGGCCCCACATGTAGGAGCCACGCAAGCGCGCCACGTCAGCATCCATAGCGGGTTTGGATCCGTTTGGACCTAGATGATACCCGAAGCCAAGTTTATGGACCCAGAATTGGTATTTTGAAAGTAGAGGGACCTTGCCAAGTTGAAGGACTGCTCGTGAATTTTTTTTTTATTTTACATCGAAGACCATATACACAACCATTTTTTTTTGAACTACATAGACAGTTGCTAAATAAGGGAGTTGTTATGTTTCAGATACCTGAATTTTTAGAAATTTCAGGCAGCAATCTTACACGGTCAATCACAAGTGACAATTTCAAAGAAAAATATAGCCAAACAATAAAGAAATTATATATTATCTGAAAAATATTTGAAAAATCAAGTACCTAAGATATAGAAGTGGTTAAATAAAGTTATGTGTGCACAATAGGTAAGTGGTGTACAAAGTAAAAGTAGTGGTACTAGTACGTCTCAAACGAGCCATTTGTCTATGATTCATCGGCATCATCGCAGGGGAGTTGGCACTTGAATATTCGAGTGTGATTCGTCTTTATTTTTTCCCTCTGCTGGAAGCTGAAAGCTTTGGCATGCCAAATCTTGGAACACGCGCGCATGCCATGTGTGCCCTGAATTGGTCAATCCTAGGAACGTGCGTTGACAAGGAAATCTACTCGATCAAACCAATGCCAAAGCTTGACAGCATGCTAGCTTCCAGCGCGCGGTTTAATTTGATTTGAGTTGCCAATGCCGCCTGCCTTGTCTCGTAGGAAAAGATCGCGGCGCCGCCACTGTCCTCCTCCAAGCAGCCACGCCCACGCGCCGACGCCGGCCGGCGGTCTCCGGAGCCAGCGAGGTAAGCAAGCCGCCACCGCCGCCACCACCACAGCTGCTGAGGATGATCCCGAGGCGATTTCACTAACAAACACGTACGTTCATATACCAGCAGCAGCTCCCCAGTGCGCGGCAACGACGCCGCCGCCGTCGACACGCCGGGGCCGCTGCCAACGCCCAAGGACTTCATGTGCCCGATCACCAGCCAGGTGTTCGACGACCCGGTGACGCTCGAGACCGGGCAGACCTACGAGCGGCGCGCCATCCAGGAGTGGCTGGACCGGGGCAACACCACCTGCCCCATCACCCGCCAGCGCCTCCACGGCGCGCAGCTGCCCAAGACCAACTACGTCCTCAAGCGCCTCATCGGCGCCTGGCGCGACCAGCAGCAGCCGTAGCGGCGGCCGTCCCCTTCCCCTTCCCGTTCCCCGCCGCCGGCCAATCCTCCTCCGGCGACAACCGGCATGGAGGGCGACAGCCTAGCGCCGCCGCCGTTCATTGTCCCCATCAAGGCTGTCGCCACCTCGTCGCCGTCCCCGAAGTTAACACCAGCGCCCGTGCGCCGCCGCCCACCAGCATCATCGCGCAGGCCTCTCTCTCGAAGCGCCGTGGCGAGCTCCAGCGCCGCCGTGTCTGCCTCTCGCACGTCCGAGGACTCTGGCGCAGTCCGAAGCGGTCGGTGCTCAAGATCGGCGCGCTCTGGCGGGACGCAACCGCGCCGGCGGTAGCTCCGATGCCAAGCCGGCCATTTCGCCGCGCCGCCAGGCCCGCCATCGTGAACGGCTTAGTGGAGATCCTCTTCAACTCTCGTCATTGCAGCAGTGCTTTCCGGTCGCCGTGTTCCTCCTCGCCGAAGCTCACCTCCGGGGACGACGCCGTCGTCTGAGACGCTCACCGTGGTCGACTCCGGCGTCGACCGCCTCGCCAAGCGCTCTTCAAGAAAGGATGGCGGAGGCCGCCGTGCTCATCTGCCTGCTCGCGCCCACGCCCGACCAGCTCATCGAGATGGACCTGGCGGAGGCGCTCGTCGCCACCATCCGCCGCAGCGGCGACGAGGACCCGCTCAAGATGTGCGTCAGCCCCAAGGCCGCGTCGGTCATCCTCCTCGGCCAGATCCTCGTCGAGGCCGCCGGCGCGGCGGACAGCTCCACGTCTCCGGTGCCAAGGTCCGCGGCCGGCGCGGCGGACAGCTTTAATCAAGTTGTCATCAATCACCAAAAAAGGAAAGATTGAAAGTACATCTAGCCCTTTAGTGAGTTTTGGATGATTGAATGACAACGTGATTAAAGGTCTAACCCGTTTGCTAAGTGTGGACAGGTAATAGGTTATCTCACAGGTACTTAATGAAAGCCAAAATGATGTGTTGTTGTATAAACAATCTAGATCAAGCACAAGACAACAATGCAAATAGAATTCATGCAAAGGCTTGTTTACTGTGGGATTTCCATGTACTATGTGAAAGCAAGCTTGTGAGAATTAATTAATGAGACATAAGGGTTTGCATATGGAATGGTCTTATATTTGAAGCTTGCTAAAATTGAAATGAAAAAGATAACAATACATGAAAGAATGATTCAACACAAGATGTGACTTGATGGCTTGAGATGGTGAAGATAGCAAGGAAAGGCTTCGAGATACTAAGCAAGGGTGAAGGGCAAGCGACGGTTTGACAGCCGAAGAACCTAGCTAGGGTGAAGAAGGAAGTACTTACATTTAGTTGAGGTACTAATCAAGCTATGATGGCCATGTTTATGTGAAGGATCAAATCACTGTTGGAGTGTTTGATGGAAGTGACTTGATATATTTGGGATTATTCAAATATGATGAATGGAATCAAGTCACGTGCTCAAGATGGCTATGCTCTAGTGAAAAAGATCAATATCAACATGTTGGCACCCTCACTTGATGAAGATTGGAATACACGGCTTCGGTTCAAAAAGAGCAACTCAAAAGGTTTAAATCCGTTATACTTTTAAATTTGAGTAAATAGGAATGTCGTACTATTAAGAGGGATGCATCATGTTGATAGATAATGTTTCATAAGTGCTCAAGCCAACCCATGTGAGATTTGAATGTTTGAGAGACAAAAGAGCTAACTGGTTGTTGCTGGTCTGGCCATATGCATACCGGACGTGTCCGGTATTTGCCCAGTAACTGTAAAAATGTTGTTCTCGGGTTGGTTCGTGGGGAGTTCCGACTCATGTCGGGAGTTTCGACGGTCGAAAGTTCCAGCGCTGGTTGGGAGTTCCGACGTCTCGCACTTTAACTGACTTGGAGGGTTCACTGTACTGGTCATATCGGACGTGTCCGGTATTCACGATCAGAGGCCAACGGTTAGTTTTCCAAAGCCTTGAGGGTCGGGAGTTCCGACGTGAGTCGGGAGTTCCGACGGTCGGAAGTTCCGGCATGTGTCGGAAGTTTCGACACCTCATATTCTTTAACTCAGTTACATGGTTTTCAAATTTGCTGAGGGTCGGGAGTTTCGACGCATGTCGGGAGTTCCGACGGTCGGGAGTTCCGGCATTCATCGGGAGTTCCAACACCTCACATTATCACTGTAACTTAGTTACCGTTGGGGCAATGTAAGTCATACCGGACGTGTTCGGTATGCATACCGGACGTGTCCACTTTATTTGTTTTGTGCTCAATGACTCACAAATAAGCATATTTGTGAAAAATGTGAAAGTGGCTAATTAGTTTTACTTGATAAGTTATCATGTTTGCCATATGATGTCCTTTTAATAGTTCTCTAGTAGAGCAATTCATTTGTTGAGATGCAAGTATACAATAAATAAATACTAGAGCTAAACAAAGAATCACAAGCAGCGAATTAAATGGTTCTGTCCTGCACCTATCGAACGTGTCCGGTATTACTATCGGACGTGTCCGCTATGGCCAGGGATAGAAACTGGTTGTTCCTATTCTGTGTATACCGGATGTGTCCGGTATTGCATGGACCAGAACACTAATTGTATTGCAACTGAGTATTTGATCCATACATTCTCATATATCCTTAACTTACTCAGAAGCTTGTGATTTATTAAATCTAAGTGGATTGTGAGCATCTCCCGAACTCAATTTTAAATATGGCAATTTTATTTGATTTATGGTCAAAATAGAAAATTGGCTCCCGATTTCTCAAAAGAATAAAAGTGCTTGTTGAAAGTTATTCAAATTACTTGAAGCACTTATTTAGGGGGAGCTAAGATTCTATTTTGCACCATTGTGGACTAACAAATTTATCTAGCACTCTTTGTAGTCCTTTGGATGAAAAATGAATTCGTATCTAGCATGTTTATTTGGCAATCAAGGTCAACATAAAGATTATCATGTCATGTATCTTCTTAGTGGTATTATTGTGGGCTCAAGCCAAAGGTATGTTTTTACATATATGCATTATAAGTGCATCTAAGACCCTTTATATGTTAGAATGAGCATTTGTGTGACATAGGAGAGATGTTTTTCAAAAACCCCTAACTAGCATGAGTAGAAAGTGTGAATTTGAAAAACTATTTGAATCTTGGTCTTTGTGACCTAGCCTTGTTATGTGATGATTATAGCTCTCCTTGATTGTTTGATCGGCTAATCACACATGACATGGCTCTCTTAAGTCCACAATCTACTTTGTCTCACTTTATCTCTCTCAAGCAAGCAAATTATTGATTATGCCATATATTTGGAAAAGAGAAAATCAATTGATGGCATTGGATAAGAAAAGTGATAGTACTCGGTTTGGATCAAGATCATATACCTTTTTGGACTGAGAAACAACAGAGAAAGGGGATTGGAAGAGAGAAATCACCATTTGGAATAATTTGAGCCAGCCCGCGTATACCGGACGTGTTCGGTATGAGCGGGACTATAAAAACCGAGCGTACCCCTTCGGCCCAGTCAAGTTTGTCTCGTTTCAACCAACCCAGCCGTCGTCTTCTTCCTCACCTAGGGCGACTGAGGATTTCACCAACAAAAGAGAGAGAGGGAGATCGCATTGCAGAAGGCTTGCATCAAGATTGAAGGCCCGGGGATCTGATTTCACATCGCCTTCTCATCTCGCATCCAAAGGACAGCAGCCATGAGTGGACGACAGGAGCCTAGGTCCAAGCACAGGCATGATCCAGCATTAGAAAAGTATAAGAAGGCAAGACAGGAGATGCATCCTGGATTCCAGCTGAGTAGCAGGAGGTCTACCAGAGTTGCCTCTAGTCGGTGACTCGACCAAGATGTAGAGGGGTCGGGAGCTCCTCTTACGACCGACAACGATGAGTTCAGAGTGGAGTCTAGAGAAGAAAGAAAGAGGAAGAGCAGCAGCGAGAGGATCGGATGGTGATAGCTCGGATGAGGAGCAGGAGATTGAGGAGGAGGGCAGTTCCTCCGATTCTCAAGACCGGCTGGTCGGGGATGCATTATGGTCTCCTTAAGACACGTTTGCCCAATGTGCCCTCTTATGTTCCTAGAGTTGATTTCGAGGGAAAGGGTATGACCGGAGAGCTAGAGAAAAGCGAAGGGTTGATCTGAGGGGCTTACGTAAGGTTCAGTACGATCACCGCTTCCAGGCAGCCTTTCACCTGGACTTCTACTCCAGTGTGATTCTCACCAGGAACCTTGTGATTGCCAGGTCTCAGTGGATTGACTGGAAGTACGTCAGAGAGTTGCGAAGGCCTCGATTGATCATGCCATTGCTATTTGCGGTATGACTGGGGTTTATGAGATCATGGAGTTCCAAAGATGACTAGAATACCGAGGTAGTAGCTCGGTTTTATGCTACCCCTGTTTCGTTAAGGAGGATGACAGTGGATGCCTTTGGATGCTCGAGGGCAGTGGTGCAGTGTGGACTATGATGTGTTTGTTGCTCACCTTGGCTTCTCGGAGGATGACCTCTGGAGGGACAGGATCCACACCGAGCAGGTGTTACCCCCTGATCAGCTTGCCTATATGTATCCACCAGGAGGTGAGAGGGGAGCAGTGGAGAAGGTTCAGGGTCTTCACCCTACTTACATATACCTGGACAGGATGTTTAGGAAGACTATTGACTGCAAGGGTGGAGACAAGGGCAACATTACAGATTACTCCAGGAACCTGCTCCACAGGATGGCACCTGATGCTTGTCCCTTCAGCGTGTTTGACTTCATATGGTCAGAGATCAGGAGTGTGGGAGAGAGGCCCCTCAAGGGCTATGGATTTGCTCCCTATATCATGTATATGATTGAGCAAGTGACAGGGCACACATTCGAGTTTGACAAGACTCACAAGGCCCTGAAGATTGTTGTAGATCTGCCTGAGACAGGAATACCTCCAGCAGGACCAGGAGGAGCAGCAGCAGCACCAGAGGCAGATGCACCTGGGAGTGGTGCACCAGTAGGAGCTTCACCTTCACCATGTGCTCCTTCACGTTCTACTT